AAGTTTAGCCTTGATTCTTCCATTGAATTAGAATCTAATGTTAATCAACCATATGTTGACATTCCCGGAACCTCCACTAATAAAAGGAAAAAGTCTATGACATCTTTCGAACCGAGAAGAAGTCAACGTGAAAGAAAAGAAAAGGACTTAGCATCGGATTTTATTTCATCTCAAGCTTTAACATTTTTGGTTGAAGGAGATAGAAATGGTGTGCTTAATAAAATACCATTGTTGCTTAATATAGAAGAAGATCCAAAGACATTTAATGAAGCTATGTCTTCAGGGGATGCCTCCTTTTGGAAAGAGGCCGTGAATGATGAAATGGATTCGATTATCTCGAATCAAACTTGGATCTTGGTCAATCTTCTTCCGGGATCAAAACCAATAAGCAACAAATGGGTGTTTCGAAGAAAGTAAAATACCGATGGGTCTATACTAACATTCAAAGCTAGATTGGTAGCTAAGGGCTTTAAACAAAAGCGTGGTATAGACTATTTTGATACATATGCTCCGGTAGCTAGATTGACATCCATAAGAGTGCTATTTGCAATTGCATCAATATGCAATTTGCATGTGCATCAAATGGATGTTAAGACGGCTTTTCTAAATGGTGATCTTGATGAGGAAATTTATATGGAACAACCCGAAGGGTTTGTACTACTTGGAAATGAAAAGAAGGTCTGCAAGTTAGTTAAGTCACTTTATGGTTTAAAGCAAGCACCAAAACAATGGCATGAGAAATTTGATAATGTCATTTTATCTCATCGTTTTAAGCATAATAATGCGGATAAATGCATATACTCTAAATTTACAATTAGTTTTGGTGTGATTATATGCTTATATGTTGATGATTTGCTTATCTTTGGAACAAACATGCAAGGGGTAAATGATACCAAGAAATATCTAACTTCACAATTTAAGATGAAAGATCTTGGTGAGGTAGATACTATCTTAGGTGTAAGAGTGAGGAAGCATAGTGGAGGTTACTCGTTGTGTCAATCTCATTATATTGAGAATGTGCTTCTTAAATTCAATCATTTGAAGTTTAAAGAAGCAAATACCCCATATGATTCTAGTATTAAATTACTAGAGAATGCAAGCCAAGCGGTGGCACAACTTGAATATGCTAGTGTGATTGGTAGCTTAATGTATGCTATGCATTGTACAAGACCCGACATAGCATTTGCGGTATGCAAAATGTCTAGGTTCACGAGTAACCCGGGTATTGAACATTGGAATGCAATTGGAAGAGTACTTGGTTATCTTAAAAGAACCATTAATTTGGGTTTGTCATATAATGACTATCCGACCGTACTTGAAGGGTACTCGGATGCAAGTTGGATAACAAGTGTAAGTGATAATAAATCCACATCCGGATGGATTTTCACAATTGCAGGAGGAGCCGTCTCTTGGGCTTCTAAGAAACAAACGTGCATACTCACTCTACGATGGAGAGTGAGTTTATAGCACTTGCCGCTGCAGGCAAAGAAGCGGAATGGCTGAGAAATCTATTGTTTGATATTGAGTTGTGGCCATAACCGATGCCATATATTTCTTTGTACTGCGATAGTGAAGCTACTTTGTCTAGAGCTTATAACAAGTATAATGGAAAATCTAGACATATTAGCTTGAGACATGAATATGTGAAACAATTAATAACCGATGGTGTTATTAATATTGTTTATGTTAGGACAAACAAGAACCTAGCAGATCCTTTGACGAAAGGTCTTTCAAGAGACTTAGTCAAATAAACATCTAGTGGAATGGGACTGAAACCTTTCTTTGAAAGAGTCACCAATGATGGTAACCCAACTATGTAATAGTTGTACCGCTATTCCATAGTTAAATGGGTAAGAACAAATTATTGTTATGTGACCGGGTTAGTGCCGAACTTTAATTAGTCCCTTCCAAGATATCGGTGCAAAAATAGCTACGTGGTTGAGGTTGAGTTTATACTTTTAATGGAGTTCGAGTCTCATAATAGCTAGAGATATAATTCGAATCTTCACCTAAGTGAACATAAAGAATGGTGCCATTCCTAACAAGACCATGCTTTAGTCTTGTAAATGTTCATGAATCCAAAATAGAGCACAAGGCCGAAATAGTGCTAAATGATAGAAACAATTTTTAAGTCTGGGATAACACATATGTGATATATTTTCGGTATTTGCTTAAGAGACAAAGTTTAATGCAAAGCACACTTTTATCTTGTGAGTACTTTGAAGTATAGTCACTAAGTGAAGGTTAAAATCGAAAGATACCTTCATGTATGTATGTGTTTATCGTTGTTAATTATAGAGAAATATTACAATTTAGTGGGGGATTGTTAGAGAGATTGTAATATATCTCTCAATTACAATATCACAAAATTTTGGCCTAAAACACAAGAAGGAAGCACTGCAGCGCATGTTTAATGCGCTGCAGTGCCATTCGGAAAAATAGCGCGCTGCAGTGCGCACAAAACAGACCTCTCGGGTCTGTTTTGCGATGCCCGAGCGCTGCAGTGAGAATGTCATCCGCTGTAGCGCACATTGCTACCGAAAAAACGTGTTTTCATGTGTTTTAGTGATCTGAAAAGGTCTTGAATCATTGCATCCATTTGTGATATGTTTTCTCACATATCTGAGTACTTCTTAACAATAGATATAATTATTGTTATATGTGCATCAGCCTATAAAAGATAACCTTCAAATTGAAAAATGCATCTTTATGTAAATGGTTGTAACGTTTAAAGAGGATGTATGCATCCCTATCTTTAAATCAATGCTCCAGAAAATATATAGAATTATCATTGTTCTGAAACTCAATATTTTTACTGAATATTGTGTTCAAGGATTTGTTGTATCATAGGGGTAATTTACTATTAAAACTCATTAGTAAACTTTAAAAAGTGAGGACAAATAAAAGCATAAAAGAAAGTATTTCTATACGCCTCAAACTCTCTTCTTGATTTCTATATTCTTTTCATCCTTTCAATTCCGAAATTCTCCAACATGTTACGGATAATATTATTGTTGCCTTTGAAATTTTGCACACTCTGAGACAGAAGACAAGAGGAAGGAAAGGCTACATGGCTTTGAAACTTGACATGAGCAAGGCATGCTCCCTTTCACCTTATTTGTTTCTCCTGTGTGCAGAAGGGTTTTCGGCACTTCTCAAGCGAGCAGAGCAGGCATGTCTCTTTTCGGGTATTTCCTACGCGCATCAGGCTCCAAAGGCGAATCATTTACTATTTGCCGACGATAGTATTTTATTTGGCCAAGCGGATGAACAGAATTGTAATGCAATTAAGGTGATGCTGGAGACTTATGAGAAGGCTTCGGGGCAGGCTACCAATTTTCAGAAGTCAAGTATATACTTTAGCCCGAACTTGTCTGAAGAATGTAAGGGTAATATCTTGACCTCTCTTGGCCTCAGTAATAGTGATTCTCATGACATTTATTTAGGCCTCCCGGCTTTTGTGGGACGCAATAAACGGCGTTTATTTAACAATCTGAAAGAAAGAGTTTGGAAGAAATTGCAGTTGTGGAAAGGTAAGTTATTTTCTGTTGGAGGTAGAGAGATTCTAATCAAGGCTGTTGCTCAGGCTACTTCCACCTATGCTATGAGCGTCTTCAAGTTACCATCCACGCTTTACGAGGAACTCCAATCTCTTGTCTCTAGATTTTGTTGGGGAGGAAATTGAAATTCGGAGGATCGCAAAATTCATTGGTTACGGCGGGAGAAACTATGCCGGCCGAAACTGGATAGTGGGATGGGTTTCTGTGACATGTTAGCTTTTAATCGGGCACTTATAGCAAAGCATGGGCGGCGGATTTTGACAAATCCGACATCTCTCATGGCCAGCATTTTGAAAGCTAGTATTTTCATTCGTCATCCTTTCTTGAGGCGAGTATGGGCTATAACCCGTCTTACATTTGGAGAAGTATTTTATGGGGGAGGGATCTACTTAGGAAGGGTGTTCGATGGAGAGTCGGAGATGGGAGTGGATTGAAGGTATTTAGGGACCCTTGGTTGCCGAGACCCCACTTTTTTAAGTGGCCTCCCTCATTTCTAATGGAAGATGGGATTTGGAGAAAATTGAATATTTGTTTTGGGATATTGATAAGGACTTTATTCTTAGTATTCCAATTAGCTGGAGAGAGGGGAAGGATATTCCTATTTGGCATTACAATGACAAAGGCCTTCACACTGTGAAGTCGGGTTACAAGCTCGAAGTGGACTGTCAACGTGAGGAAGGTAGTTCTACTGGCAGTGGAGATCGTAGTTGGTGGAAAAGTTTTTGGGGTTGTTGTATTCCTAACAAGATCAAGATTCATATTTGGCGAGCGTTTAACGAAGCTCTTCCAGTGAGAGCCGCATTGGCGGGTCGCCTCATTGTTTCAAATGTGGTGCAAGCTACGAAGATGTTAGTCACTCTTTATGGTATTGTTCTATGGCCCAGGAAGTTTGGGAACTTAGTTCAACATGGCCGAAGCTTAAAGGTTTTAAGGGTGGACACTTTAGTGGCTTGTGTCGTTTCATAGCTCAGGGAGGTTCCAAGGAAGTTTTGGATGTATTCTGTATGCTTAGTTGGGGAATATGGCTCAATCGGAATAAGATGTTGTTTGAGAATTCTCATCGAACTGCTAAGGAAATAATTGATTATGCGGACCGGTTACTAGGAGAGTTCCAATCATGCAGGTGTTTGGATGGAAAGGTGGTACACCAACCGACTCGTCCCAAGCAGCCTTGGAAACCACCAATTATGATGTTGATGCAGCAGCGAGATGAAATGAGAGTTTTATTAGTGTTGGGCTTGTTATTCGTAATGAGGAGGGCGAGATGTTAATGGCTGCTTCTACACGAATTGAAGGAAGGTTTTCTCCACATGTTGCAGAGTGCTTGGCTATTCGAGAAGGGATCTCCTTTGCTCTGGAAAAGAGGTTTCCATAACTGGGTGCTTGAGTCAAACGCAAATAATGTTGTTCAGACGATTCAACTTCTACGTTCTAGAGCTCTAGAATCTACCATCATTGACCATATCAAATCTAATTCAGATTTAGTTTCTTGTGGTTCTGTTTGCTATGTATCCCACATGTTAACATCTTTTGTATTTTTTAATTTATCTGATAAGTTGTGATTAGATTGTAGTCCCAGATTTATCAGTTATTTTGTTCAAGCTCTATTGAATAAAGAGATGCTTTTCACTTCAAAAAAAATAAATAAAATAAGTACAAGAGCTACACGTCATCACTTTTGTATACAGAACCGATATCGTTTTCTATCAAAAGGTTTGTTGTACGTAAACTGAAGACATGTCGTTTATGCAATGCAACAGTCTGCTGTCGTACGATCAATCAGACTACATTTGCTTTATCCTTTAAGATTTTCTGTCATCTGAGGAAAAATTAGAGGTACTCGTGGATTAGGCCTTTGGATTAGCAAACCAATCTAAAATCGTTAGATTGAGAATTTTTCCAACCAAATCAAAAGTCCCCCAAAAACGCTAAAACATGCTGACGGTTACCGGAATGATGTGGTTTTAAAGGTCATTGTAGCTTCCATTAAATGTTGCCGTTATATTTGTGTTAATGAATTTAGCTTTTCTTGAAACGTGTCGTCTAAAAATGTATTTGTCATTTTTTGAACATCTTCTCGTTTTAACGTTATGTCGGCGTTGTCAATGGAATTTGTCGTTTTACTTATCCATTGCGGTTTATTAAAAATACTGTCGTATCCATACTTTTATCATTTATGTGTTGGCATCGTTTAGAAGAGATGTCGTATTTTTAGTCTTTATATGTTATTGTTGTCGCCCACATAATACGCTGTCGTTTCTCTTGAGTTGTTGCCGTCTGCCCCTTTTCAGTTTCAAGGGAAACACCGACTCATGATCCACCTGGCTTTAGAATTGTTTGTAAACTCTCGTGAATCGCTATGCCTATAATGTTGTTTGGCCAAAGTAAATATTATGAAAAAGGCTTCACTCTTTTATGTCACTCGTTGTATTTATTGGACTATTTTTTTTTTCTCTTTTAATAATAATATATTATGTTAGTAGAGTCAACGTGTTAAACTGTGAATATAAATATCGTTCAACATTATATGGATGATATAAATATTGGACCGTAGCCTAATTGTCGTTGAAAGTAAAGGGTTGATAAATTGAAAATATCATCTTAATTATAACATTAATCTCTCCAACCAAGATTCCATCCAATCTTTACAACGTGATACAAAAATAACTTCCACATATTCACTGAAAAAAAAAGGTGTATTAATGAAGGATCTAGAATGAACAAAAAAGATATTCATTCTCTTAACCTTTCAAAAGCAAAGCATCGACAATATAATGATAACAACCACTCCCTCTTCGTACGTACACAAATAATATAAAGCACAACTAAGTAACAATGTCCACCTCAATGCCACCAAATATGATCAAAATAAATAAATAAAAGAAACCACTAATAATCAATCTCCTGAAAGAGAAGGGGAAAAAAAGAGTATCAAACTAGCTGTAGGGCAAGCCAAGCAGCAGAATTACATATATATCCTCTTAGAAAAACAGCTAAAATTTACTTGATTCGGTACCTGTCAAGCGGATCTTTGATCGGAAAGCGCTCATGATAGACTCTCCAAGCATAATCCTCAAAAGAAAATGAGTTAAACAACCTCTTTTCTTCTTCTTCTTCACATTCTTCATCCTTATTATGGTTGTGGCCACAATTAGTATTATTAGTTTTAGTGCAGTCTTTGGGGAGAAGAGGAGAGACCGTACTGTCTAGAGGAAGAGTTATAAGCACAGTCATTGATATGCTGCGAGTGTTGTTCATGCCTTCTCCTGAACACGCAATTGGTCTTCCTCTCACTTTCTTCAACTTCCCATTGCTCCATACCTGTTATTACAAGTATTCAAACATGCCCATAGCACGGTAATATATGTTATTCCTATTTTTGTATGTAGCCAAATGTAATAATACATGATTTTTAAGAATCGTATTATATATATTATTAATTATCGCATACCAAACGCCCACGTTGAAGTCGGTTCTAGTATGCTATTGAAAGTTGAAACTCATCCTAATTTTTGTTCACCATTTTGTTTTTGAATGATTTAAGGTACATGAATAGGCAATGCTAAGCCACCCAACATTATATTATTAACTAAAACAGTATATTGTTACTAATTAAAACACAGATGAGTTTCAAGATTTCTTAAAAAAAATAAAAAAAGTCGGGTCATTTCAATGGGGACATGCATATGGATCTCACACTTCATCTTGAGGCAAAGATGTAATGTAACCATTAGGGGGTACATAAATGTTGCCCAACTCAACAAAGACAACAACTTAACAAGCTCTTTGCGTTGCGCAGAATGTGTAATCTTGAAATGGTTTTTGGGCCAGCTTATTAACAACTACTTTCAGCACACATAATCTTCACATATGGTTTCCAATAAACCCTACTAACGTCTAACCACATCTACTTATCTAAAACCAAAAAAAGGTAAGCATCATATCTTACTTATTATTTACATATTTTTTTTTTTTTTTAAAAAAAAAAAAAAAAAAAAAAAAGAATAAGCCCCACCAAGAAAAATTTTGAATGCGAGCCTATTTAAATACAATTTTAAATGTTTTAATGGGGAAAAGAATTATTGATCCTATATACACTGAATCCAAAGTGGAACAACTATATGCTATTTTTTAATTGAATTGGTCATAATGGTGACATAAACCTCGAAACTTACTCCAATAAAACAAAAAGATAAAGAAAAAAGAAAAAAAAAAAGAAAAGAGAAAAGAGAAGCTTGAAACTTTCTTTTTCTTCCTTCAAATTTTAAAAATAAAAACCAAAAGGTTGAAACTGAAACTTACTTGAGCAATGTCACCTATAGTAACCATGACCGAGTCTATCTGGGGCAAGACCGAGACCCAACCCGAATCCGCCATCAATGAATACTTTCTGCTCCGAATTTGATACTGCAACCCGACTACATACGGATAAAACCCACCCGAATTCATCGCCTTTTTGCCAGGCAAATCCTCGGATATCCACATGTAAGAGCACAACCTCTCTGGGTTATTCCCAAACGGGTTCTCAAATCCGACCGACCCGGAAAGCATCTCGACTATCCTCAACCCGACTCTCTCCAACTCCCGGGTCAACTCGCTGACCGAACTGACAGCCAACTCGGTCGACTCGGCGGAACACGCCGAGTCGAGACAGAGAAACTCGCCTTGCCCGTCTCCTTCCTCATCTTCCTCTGCTTCGTACCCCAAAGGCCAGTTCTTTGGGAAACACGATTCCTTCTGTTCTCTGGCAAGGTTCAGGATTGCGAGCGCTTCCGACTCGGCCGAGCTGGCGAGTTGGGGTGGGACTGAGTGGCCGGTGAATTGGAAGAAACCGAGTTGGGACGAGGACGAGAGGAGGTCGTCGAGAATAGTATCGCCAGAGAGGGAGATGGAGGGAGGACACTTGGCGGGAGGGGAGGCGAGGCGGCGGGAAGGGAGAGAGAGGGCGGGCGGGAGGCGGTGGAGGAGGCGGGAGAGGGCGTCGGCTGCGGCGGCGGAGGAGGTGGTGGAGAAGAGGTTGTTGTTGGGCTGTGTTGACGGCGTTGGCGGCGGCGCTGACGTGGCGCCGCTGTGGATGTTTTGAGCGGAGGAGGCCATGGTTATGATATGGTGTGTATGAAATGAAAGTGGAGATCTTCTCAAAGGAAATGACTACTCGAGGGGTGAGGGAATATGTTGTTTTGATTGTGGAAGTTGGTGAACGTAAAGTATTGTTGTCATTAAGGGAAAAAATTTTAAAATTAAAAAAATATTATAGAAAATAGAGGATTTTATAATAGGGTATAGAAATATATTTTCATTTTCTTACGGTCAGATTGTTATTAAATTTGTCTGATTTTAATTATTTTTATCTTCGTGTAATTTTAATTAGGTCTTTAACAATATGTACAAACGATAGAAATACTTTCTAATAAATAACTTATTACTTAAACTCATTATTATTATTATTATTATTGATTTATTAATATTATTTTATGGCTTTATTTATTACAGATAGTGTTTAGGTGGTGGTGGATTTGTTTGTATGTGTGGGCACACACGTGTGGGAAGGAGATGAAAATATGGGTGTAAAGTTGTAAACTTGTGATTGTCAATTGTAATATATGTGATGTGAGGAGGAGATATAGGAGGATGATTAATTCCTTGCATGAAAGTTGAAAATGCGTTTGGCCCCATAAAAAGAATGTCTTATGTATGTCACCCTTGGAAATGAGGTGTGTGGGTCATGGCTTACCTAAACAAATGTAGTTATATCTTCTTCCCTTTGACATGCTTAATAAATAAAGGGAAAATTAATAAAATACTAACTCTAATAATATTAGGTGGAAATTGTTATATGAAGCAAGGAAAAAGGGAATAATAATAAAAAAAAGGACAACGAGTGTAACTTTTCTTTCTTGCAAGTTGCTTAGGACAGTTCAAGTTAAAGATTTGAGCTACAAGCCTACAAGCAAAAAAAGTTGAGAGATTTGAGCTTTTACGTACGATGCACTTGTTGGAATGTTGGTACTTTACAAACTAAATTACATGCAATAATTGATATCTCTCCCCCTTCTTTTTTTTTTTTTTTTTTTTTACCTCAGAAAAAAAAAATAGAAAAAAAAAACGAAAGTATCCTATATTGTTTTTCAAACTATGTATAATAGCTTTGCCAGCTTAAGTCCATTAATACATCAAAAAAAAAAAAACAAGAAGCAAGCCAACTAAGCTTATATATAGTACTATGACCGGGATCCAACAGTGTTATTTTTCTTTTCTATTAATAGTAGTATTTTTTAAAAAAAATGCTTGGGCACCAACGGTGTTATAAACACCACTATTAATAGAAAATTGGCTTTAAAATCTCATTTTACGAGATCCACTTTCAACTAATTGGGTGATATTCAGTCCTATTGAAAAGAAAACTCTTATAATAAGCACAAGTACTAAGCATTTTCAATGCTAGCTGATCTGCATTACATGAAGCATATTATAATATATATATATATATATATATCCATATAATCAATTGGTCCTGCATGTAGTGAAGAATGTTATATTATTCAGTTTGTGAGCCCAAAATATTCGTGACTCTTTGCAGGTATAATGGCAGTCCGCTGCCTTGTTGTGAGGAAAGTTGTGCGTCTCTGGTGGTAGCATGTTGCACGGGTGCAGTATTTTCTGCTGCATGCTTTATTTATTTATTATTAATTTTGGAAAGAAAGCTTTATTTATTATTAAGCATACGAATTATTAATTATTTTAGTATTATAGTCACGCAATTGTTTTTGTTAATATGATTCTCAATGTATACTTTTCAGTATATTATTGCCTTACATTCAAATAATATCATTGCACAGATTTCAACTTTTGCTTTCTAAAACAAATAAAGTGAATTATGCGAAATGGCTTGTAGTTAGTAAAGAATTACTGGCAAAACTAAAGATTTGGAATCTAGAAAAAAGTTGATAGAATAGTACACAAATTTCTTAAACCAATATTAAAGCACCCCCTAATTAGGATCCGTCATAGAAGTTGGCATAAAGATTTCTAATTCTTTGTTACTTTTTTTTTTTTTTTTTTGCACTAGAAATTGACAACTTAGGCAGCTCATGACATATATCTATATATATATATATATATATAATATGTCCGATTCGCATAGGCAATATGAGTGCTTATGCTATTATCTTCTTTTGATATGTAGTTTAACATGTTTTGCTTTATGTATGCCCTAAAGACGTTATTATCATCCGCGGTTTACCAGGTGTTGGGGAAAAGAAACAAGAGTTTTAGAAAAAGAAGGAAAAAGTTACTCAAGCCTACAAAGGAAACGCCCAAAACGTGCCATGTTCACAAGCAATATTTGCAAAATAATTTATAAGGAAAACTAGTCATTATCATATCATATACGTACTAAATTGAACCTTATCAAGAAAATATCTGGATAAATAAGTTGGGCTGCTAGTTTGAACCAACCAACTCGATTAGCGGGACATATATAGACCAAGTTCAAAGTGCACAAAGATGACGATTCTAATTTTATAATGTGTGTGTGTGTAAACAATTTAAAAGTACACCACGAGGCAATATATAGTTATAATTATATTGAATAAGTGATGTTAAGAGACGGATTTCTCCATTAAAAACATGTAACGAAGAAAATTCTTCTAGTGTGTGTGCGTGTGTAGATCACAATTTTTTTTTTTTTATTTACTGATACACAGATTTAATAATCTAATCAACTAAATTTTGGACTAATAAAATGAAAGAATAAACTCATTGGGTAGCCGTTTATTATGATTATAATCACTATAATTTGTTACTTTCGATTTCATATATGTATATATAGAGCTTTTTCCGGTCCTTTTGAAGGGACTTTCCCTCCTGACGTAACATATAGAAATGAAAAACATATCATATGGTCTTTATTGAACGTAACACTAACGTTGAAAATGTAAAACACAAAGATATTAAATTATTTCTGACTTTTATTATATTTTTCTAACATTTTTATTATGTTAAATAGCCAAATTAAAATGTAGCAATAGTATCAAATATTTAAATTTCTTGATATTATGTCTTTTTAGTGTTTGTTTTACGTTAAATAGCTATCATGTTATGTTAAATAAATTATAATGTTACGTTTCTCACAGTATAGGAGGGTTGCTCCTTTTAGAGGGATCGAAGACAAAGCTTATAAAGCCTATATATATATATATATATATATTTTTTTTTTTTTTATTGCGCTTGTGATTTTGTTGCCTAAAAAGCATATCGTCAAAGCGTCACTTTAGGTCTGTGGTTATGGAGAAAAAGGTTTAGGCTCGCAGCATCTTAATTAAGGTTTGATTTCCCTTCGATTTTTTCGCTTAAGAATAAAAAAAGTTCATTTTTATTTTTATTATTGCTTTCGTTCTAGAATTTCAATGCATCAGAACTCAAAGTTATAAGCTTGATCTCCTTTACTGAAGTCTGCAACATCATGCCATATAAGGTTCCATTCGCTTAAAAAAAAAAAAAAAAAAAGGGTTTTTGACACAATTGTCTTCTGAACTTGTCGTGATTTAGTATATTACCATCTAAATTTTTAATTTTGGTAAGTTGTTGAACTTATAAATTTATTGCAATGTGGTTTAACTAAATTTCTTCTAAATTTTTATTAAATTTAAGGGATTAAAAGTTGAGATATTGAAAGATAAGGGCCCGTTTAGTTCGCTGATTCGAGTTGAGATGTGATTTTATGTGAGTGTTTTTTACTGTAGCAAAAAAGTTAGATGTGATTGTTTCTGAGAGTTTTTTACTGTAGCAAAACTCGAATCAGCGAAATGAACGGGGTATATTACATTTGAATTGAAATGTTAAAATTTTTGGTTGAACGTGTTTTTTTGACACTAATTTAACACAATCATCGTCAAAATAAGGCATATTGTAACAAATTTACAAGTTGAGGGGCACCTTATCAAAATTAAAACTTTAGGGCCAATTTGCTAAACCACCACAAGTTTAAAAGGCAAATGTGCTAAAAACCCAAAAATAAAAGCTTCTAGTTTTAGGCTTTAATTTATTATATCTTTTTTATGCTTAAGTTTTTCCATTTAATTCTAAACATACAAGTTGCAAGTTCAAAGTTTCATGCCATGAAATAAAAAATTTGATTTTTGTGTGTATATTGCAAGTTGCAAAGTCAAGTTATTGTTGTTATTAAATGTTGACTGCCCAACATTGATTTTGTAGATAATTGATTGCAAAATAGTCGGACCTCCACCTGATCCGGTTAGGATAAAAGTGGTGTCACTGTTATTTAAAGCAAAAGGGATAAAAAGAAGTCTATTATATAATAATCAAAAAGCAAATGTTTAATGCAAAAGAAAGAAGCAACTATATTGATTCCTTGTAAGCTGACTACCACATTCGTGATGCTCAGTGTTGAAATTTAAAACTCTGGGCAACTATAGAAATACCCCACAAATAGGGAAAGCAAAAAGGAAAATCTCTAACAAACTTATAAAATAAAGCTTAGATTAGGATGCAAAAACTATGGTCGTGTTTGAAATTGATTCTGTTTTTATTTTTTACATTTTTCGATAAACAAAAAATGAAAACATTTTTAAAACGACGTTTTATACAATAAAGACAAAAAACAAAAATGAAAACGATTTTTTAGTTTAGTGTAAAATGAGAGAGAAATGAAAAATGACTTTCAGTCGTTTTTCATTTTTTATTTTCATTTTCTCATCTCTCGAGCAAAGAGAGAGAGAGAGAGAAACATTAATGAGTTTTTTTATACTGAAAATAATCTTTTGATAAAACTACTAAATGCATTTTTAAAAATAATTTATGTATGAGATTGAAAACGTTTTCGTTTTTATTTTCATACAAAAAATAAAATCATTTTAAAACGAGTTCTAAATGCGCCATTTGAGTCAAACCCTATTTATAATATACCAAAGACGAGCAACAACTCATTCTTAACCAAAGTGCTATTTTTTAACCAACTACAAAATAAACTAATATTTTTATAAATCTCCACCTTTGCGAGTTTGTTGTGTTAGATTTTGGACGTGCATATATACATATAAAATAATAATTATATATTATATTCTATCATATTAAGTTAAGCCCATTTAAAGTGATCAAATAAGGTTTTAGCTAATTTGAGCTTTAATGCATCTAATAAGTGTGAGCC